GTCATGCCAACAACATGAAGCAATGGCATTTTAAATTTATTGGTTTTGTATATACAATCTATTAAGAGAACAGAATTATATATTTTGGTAAGTATGATTGATTTTAGATGTGCAAAAAAAAGATGAGTTAAATGTTTATCTTGATTATATTGATAATAATGTTCAAAATTCCCTTCTACAAGCTCATCAAGAAGAGCCTAAATTGGTGTGCGACCTTGAAGATTGTCACATCGAATCTTATTTCGAACATTATAGATAGTTTTTGAGATTGTTAAACTATCTGGGTTGCTTTGACGGAGAGTAGAGAGTATCTCTCGAGGATAGATACCTGCTTTAGACATTTTCTTGACTTTTTTTTGATCTTCTTTATTCAATTGACGACTGGATGGATGGCCTAAAATGTCTTCCGATGCCTCATGATTGTGTTCTTTGTTATTTATTTTTAAATACTATTGACCATCTTCCATTTTCTTTCCATATAGCTCAAAAGGGCACCCTAATAATCGTGTACTCGTAGCTCTCTGGCGGGTTTCATTAGTAAGGTTCAATCTATTACTGTAGTTGCCACCTCTGTCACATTGCAAGTAAACAAACTTGTCTCGTTCAGATCTTTTAATGCTTACTGCATACCCGTGACTAAAGGCATGAGTTCGGGCATAATCGATAAGAGCATCACGGCTTGGAAAGTATTCTTCTGAAGGTGGCGACAAGGACATCATCTTATATTTTTAGGAATGACAAGGTATACAACAATAATTGTAAATGAAAGCTTTATATTTATAAGTGTAATGGATATTTTATTACCAATTTTATAACAGAATTTAGTACCAGTACAAAGATTTTAGTGATGAAAGTTATAGCAATTCTTAAGAGAACTTTATTAAGTAAAAACTAAAGATATTTTTGAGTTATCTTTGAATTATTTTTAACTTGATTACTGATGATTTTCGAGTAGTGCTTTTATATTTTGAAATTTAATTTATATCTTAAGCAGGTAATTTTAATATCAGTATGATAGTGTAACCTGATCCGTCTGGTATGATTCTATTTAAGAAAACGTACCTCACTCATCAGCCATTATATATAATAAGAGGATAGGTTTATAATTTAACAAACCATACCATTCTGACTAGGTATTATAGTATAGTAAATTATCGAATCAGTATGGTATGATTTTTTTTTGTTAGAAAATGTACCATATTGATGTAGTATTAATCTGTCTGTCTATACTAATATTTCGACAATGTCACGTCTGTTTGTCATGTCATTTTAATAAATTAAGAATTGACATATGTCATTTCAAAATCTGTATGCATTTGTATACATCGTATAATAATGGACACATCAGCCGAACTGATAAATAAAGGCATTAGCTGATATTATTAATCCGCATAATTACTTTACTTTTTTTGCCTATTATGCAGTTTTTATCATAGGAAGTGTATACATCGCATAATTATGAAGGCCTTAACATGATATTAAAAATCATTGATGCATATATATGCATTGCATAATTACAGTATGATATGATATTGGAAATTCAGCATTGATGCATATATATGCACCGCATAATCATAAATACCTTGTTAGTTATCTTCTATACCTAATTCTATCATTCGTACATAGTATAGTTAAGACCTTTTCAGATAGAATCAGGGCGCGGGTAATGATTTATTTAATGAAGCATGAACACTTGAATTACATAGTATAAGTGCATTTATACATAATTCTTTGTAACATGTTTATTTTAATTTCTGAAGAACTCGTATGAATTAGTAAATATATTAATAAGAAAAGAGCTTTACTTTAAATATGTGAACAATAAAAATGACACTATAAACCAAAACCTTTATTACATGAACTAAAATGATATGTCAACTTGGAACTTACTATACATTCTAGTATCTATAAACCAAAATCTTTATTTATAAGTAAAAAACTAATTTATTACACTTGTGCAATATTATATAACGATTATATCACCTCACGGCACATCACTTATTAATACACCTGATTTAATAGTAACTATCAACCTAATCACTAAACAAATTAACAAAAACACCCTAACTAATAACCAACAAAAAAACATGCCAACAATAACATCCTAACACTAACAGAAAGCACCCTAATCCTAACTACAATGATTATAAAACTGCAAAAGCGAATATGACAAATCTAAGACTCTTCCAAGAATAATAATGCCACCAACAACAACGATAATATTTCACGGCTCCAATAATGATAAACCCCAATAATGAAAGTGTTTTACCGCTTCACTAACATGACACCAATGAACTAAAGAACAGCCTACCCGATGTGTATCGCCTGAAAAAAAAAAGTTACTACTGTAAACACGCCAACAAGCCAAAACAACAAACCAAAAAAACTACACACTTTCCTGAATACCCAAGAAATGAAATGAGAAACTAAAGATACCTTCAAAAATACCCAGAAAAAAAAAGTATTAGTAAACACGTCCAAAATTTGAAATGACAAAGCTAATACTCTCCTTAAGTTTCCGAATTCGAAAATCTACACAGTATAACTGGCAAAACAACATGGCAATGCATTTACTCTAACTGTAGTGAAATATAGCGACTAACTTCAACAAAAGCATCACTGACAAAGTAATATGGTGCAAAAATGTCAAAATCAACTAAAGAAACCACACCCAAGAACCAAAACAAGAAACTAAAGACGCCCTTGAAAATACTTAAAAAAAAAAAAGAATATAAGTAAACATGTTCATGACAAAGCCTCAAATTTCAGAATCCAAAATGTCCATACAGTATAACCGGCAAAATGACAATGGCAATACATTTACCCCAACTACAGTGAAATTCAGTGACTGACCTCAACAAAACACCAACGACAGTACAAAAATGGCAAAATCCACATCTGTGATTACTCCAATTACGGTGATAGCGATTCCAAATAACTCAACGCCAAAAAGTGACGAAACTCATAACAACTCTAACTATAACACCAGTAATGACGACAATTAAAAGGATGAAATTCTATTAGTTGAAAGAAAAAAAAACTATTAATTAAGTAATACAGTAATAAGAAAGAAAGCTTATATCCACCAAATTGTATAATCGGTGATATTTGGAATACAATGTAGATTATGGTAGAAATAGCAATTTGCCATGGTGGAAATAGCAATTCCCTAAATATAATATGTAAAATTGCTAAATAATTTTAATATTAAAGTTAAAAGTAATTTTTAGTTATTAAATTTTATTTTTATTTTTTTAAGCTGTGATTTTATTTTAAACTTCTAAAAAAATATAGTTGTTTGAATATTTTTGCATACAATAAACATATATAATATGAAGCTAGCCAAAAATAAACATATTAGCTAGAATATATTTAATGACACGTAGATGATCATTACTTGTTATAAATTTATATATAATTGATGAACAAAAGATAACCAAAGTATAGATTTTCTTAAAATAGTGGTTTTGTTTGATTATATTGCAATATATTTTGATAAAATTAATTAAATTTAGAAGAAAAATATTATTGATTTCAAAATTATTTAGAAGATGATATCATCAACGTTTTTTTTAAATGCTTCCAAATTTTCAGCTTGGTACAAGGCCGTCTTGTCTAGTGATTCTGCTATAACGAGTTTTAATACATTATTTAATTGTGTTAACTCTTGGTTTTGATTGGTTAACTCATCAATATTGTTTTGTAAATCATTAAGTTGATTTAACAATTTATTGTTTCATTTGATTAGTTTATCATGATCTAAATGTAAAGCTATATTTTTCTGAAGAAGTTCAGTACTTAAACATAGTAAATTAATATTTTCTTGTTGTGTTCTATTAGAATCAGATGCTATTTATAAAAGATAAATAATAAATATGTTTATTTTATATAAAAAAATAAATACAACTTAAAATAAAATATATTTTAAATGATAATAATAAAAAATAAAATATAAAATATAAAAGCTAAAATTTTAATATGCATTTTAAACCAGGATATAGTGGATGTAATTTGTCTAATTTGTCTGTTGTATCAAAACCACTATTAATTTTTTGTTTTTTATTTTTAAATACATTAACTTTTAATTCTTGATATTCTTGAATTGTGCTTACAAACTTTCTCTTTTTTTGTTAAGAAGTATATTCACTATTATCAGAATCAGGTCTAGATACTTCCTTTTCTATATTATTGTCAATTTCAGAATGTTGATTTTTTAATTGTAATAAATCTGAATCTGAAGCACATATTTGTTGCTTATAATTAGATAATTCTTTGCAATATAGATAATCTCGTAAATAATGTTTTTTAAATTCAGGAGAAAATTTACACCAATAAACTTGATTATTTTTGATTATAACTTCACCTGGTTCATTATTATTAAGCTCTTGAATGATTTTTTTAAGTTCTTTGGTAGTATATTCACATTTGTCATATTTGAGATTCCAAATCATTTCTCAAAAATCAGATTCTAAAACTTTATGAAAGATAAGTTGAGTTGTATGTTTTTCAATATCATTATCCCAACTATCTTTGAATTGAATTATAAAATCAAGTCTTCATTCAAATTGTTTCTAGTGATGCTATATAGATGTTTTATCATCTATATTTCTATGACCAAAATTAAAAGCTTCTTCAGGTGGTTTTTGTGATGTCATAAAAATTTACTTTGCTACAAAAGGTACAAAACTTTTTTCTTTAATTTTAACATCTTCTTCAGTATCATTTAAATATTTAACATGTCATTCCAATCAAGACATGAATACCATTCATCAAATAATACTATTGAATAACCAGAATAACTATTTCACTAATTATAACCAGAACGTTGTTTTTTTTTCTTATTATATATTTCTGAACAGAATAACTTTTGAATAAGATTTAATTTGCCTGCGCCACCCTTACCATAAAAATAAAATGTTAGTAGATGCCAAAATCTTTTTGATTAAGATTTATTTTTTGCTTTAGCAATCTCAGTTTCTATCAATTTTGCTTGAAATAAATTATTACTAAAGGGAATGATATTTTTATTCTTTTTAACTATATCTAAAAATGTTGCACCATCTAATAATATGTTATTTCCATCGATTCTTGCATCAAGAATTTGTAATTGTTTTTCATCTCTGTCCATTTATGATCGAATTCAAGTTAGAAAATTTGTTTCTTTTCTTTTTTGTATGGTTTAATACCTGTAATTTTCTTTCGTAAATTTTGCATATATTTTCTTCCCTTATGAAAATGTAAGAGATAAACTATTCTGCCCGGACTTAGGTGGGAAAAGTTGAAGGCCAAAGGTAGCTGAGTACTAGGCTATAGCAAGTTTTTAAATGCATGTAGCGCATGTGGGATTTGTTGGCCAACATCAGTGCGATAACCATACTTGGGACTTTTATAGCAGCCAGGCATTAGCCAAATATGATTTTAGATAGTTTAGCTAGTCTAAGTTTACATACATCTAATAAATTTGTGTGAGTTATCAAAGAAAAAAAAAAAAAAAAATTACACTTTTATATATTCCAAGTGCATGATTATAGAGAGGTTTGACTATATGTTAATATATAAATAAATTAATCTAATTACCAGCTTGATCATTAGCCTGTTTGTTGACTTGTGCTTGATTATTTACTTATATTTGATCATTTGCTTGCATTTGTTAATCATTTGCTTACATTTGTGAATTATTAGTTTGTTGAATATTGGCTTGTAATTGTTAAACATTATAATTGGCTTGCATTTGTTGATTATTGGTTTGTTTTTGTTAAATATTTGCTTGCATTTGTTGAACATTAACTTGCATTTGTTGATTATTAGTTTGCATTTGTTGATCATAAGATGGTATATTTAATATTTTTCTAAGAAAAGGTAAAGGTAGTATTTCAAATTACTAACTTTTAAATATTTCATAGAAGTCTTTATATTTGTAAAGACAACAATTATAATTTATAATACATCATCGAGAAATTTTTTTAGCCGATTTATAACAATTATTAACCAATAATTGATGATCATCGATTAAAAAATATCAATAATCATCTGTATGGGTGATTACAATCGATAAGTTAACTCTAAACGATAATCATCTAAATGTTAAAAGCGATGACTATCATAAACGTCATCATTATTTGGCTAATAAATTTTTTTTTCTATTCGACTAGGTGGGTGATTTCAACGGTACTTCACTTACGTTTACAATTTGTTTTATTTAACCAGGCTGGTGATTTCAATTGTACCTATGCTTACAATTTGCATTTTTTTTTTCTCTTCGACCGGGTAGGCGATTTCAAAGATACTTCACTTACAACTTGTTCTCTTCGACTGGGTAGGTGATTTCAACTGTATCCACGTTTACAATTTGTTCTATTTAACCGGTTGGTGATTTCAATTGTACCTACGTTTACAATTTGTTCTATTTAACCGAGTTGGTGATTTCAACTGTATCTACGTTTACAATTTGTTCTATTTAACTGGGTAGGTGATTTTAACTGTATCTACGTTTACAATTTGTTCTATTTAACCGGGTAGGTGATTTCAACTGTACCTACGTTTACAATTTGTTCTATTTAACTGGGTTGGTGATTTCAATTGTACCTATGCTTACAATTAGCATTTTTTTTCTCTTCGACTGGGTGGGTGATTTCAACGGTACTTCACTTACAACTTGTTCTCTTCGACCGGGCTAGTGATTTCAATTGTACCTACGTTTACAATTTGTTCTATTTAACCAGGTTGGTGATTTCAATTGTACCTATACTTACAATTTGCATTTTTTTCTCTTTGACCAGGTAGGCAACTTCAACTTACAACTTGTTCTATTTAACCGGGTAGGTGATTTCAATTGTAACTACGTTTACAGTTTGTTCTATTTAACCGGGTTGGTGATTTCAATTGTACCTACGCTTACAATTTGCATTTTTTTTCTTTTCGACCAGGTAGGCGATTTCAACGGTACTTCACTTACAACTTGTTCTCTTCGACCGGGTAGGTGATTTCAACTGTACCTACGTTTACAATTTGTTCTATTTAACCGGGTTTGTGATTTCAATTGTACCTACGTTTACAATTTGCAATTTTTTTCTATTCGACCGGGTGGGTGATTTCAACTGTACCTACGTTTACAATTTGTTCTATTAACCGGGTAGGTGTTTTCAATTGTGCCTACGCTTACAATTTGCATTTTTTTCTCTTCGACCAGGTGGGTGATTTCAATGGTACTTCACTTACAACTTGTTCTCTTCGACCGGGTAGTGATTTCAACTGTACCTACATTTACAATTTGTTCTATTTAACCAGACTAGTGATTTCAATCATACCTACGTTTACAATTTGCATTTTTTTTTCTCTTTGACCGGGTTGGTGATTTCAACTATACCTATGTTTACAATTTGTTCTATTTAACCAGGTAGGTGATTTCAACTGTACCTACGTTTACAATTTGTTCTATTTAACTGGGTTGGTGATTTCAATTGTACTTATGTTTACAATTTGCATTTTTTTTTCTCTTTGACCGGGCTGGTAATTTCAATTGTACCTACGTATACAATTTGTTCTATTTAACCGGGTTGGTGATTTCAATTGTACTTACGTATACAATTTGTTCTATTTAACTAGGCTGGTGATTTCAATTGTACCTATACTTACAATTTGCATTTTTTTTTCTCTTCGACCGGGTAGGCGATTTCAACTTACAACTTGTTCTATTTAACCAGGTAATGATTGGTCGAGTCCCAACTTTAAAATTGATTTTTAGCTTAAGAGAGTCGATTGTAATTTTTTTGTTTGTCATATTATACAGTAATGCATCTCCGTGTTCAAGAAAATAAACTTAATAAAAAAAGGTATTAATTATTTTTATTTTCTTTTTCGATTTTACTATATCATGTCGATGGTGTTCTTTTTTATTTAAATATTATTAATGTTGGCCATTCTGTATATATATATTTTTTTTAGGCTTTTGCTTTTATATTTTTTTTTCATTAGTAAGAGAGCTAGCCACGTTAACACAAATCATATAAGCATTCGTCGAAGCCTGTTTGAATTCAAAATACTGGTTTGTTCAATTATTTTTATATTGCAATTCAATAGTCACTCTATATTAATTAGTTTTTGCGAAGTAAGATTCATATTATAGTAAAATCATCCGAAATCGTGCGCGATGCAAGTGTTTATATTATACTCAAATCTTTATTAGCTAAGGGCTTTGAATATCTTAAAAATAAATGCGCAGATCCTTTTTTAGGTCTATTTTTGCAGTTAGTATGTTTGCTAATGGGCAAAAAAAATTTTTTTTAAGTGGGTCAATAAAAATGAGTCAGAAAAATGTTTTTGCAATGAATAATGATCATTCACAAATCACGATATTTAGTTTTAGTTTATTATGTATTTGAGCTAAAATAAAAATAATACTTATATAATATTTATACATAATTAATAATATTTGCTATTTATATATTGTTTTTATTTATATTATTTTAAATAAAGTACATACTTATAGTGTTTACATAATTTTTATATTTAATAAAATAATTACATTGTAAAGAAATCTAATTCAATTATTTAACCAGTTTAATACAATTATAAATTAAAGAAACTTGTTGAAATTACCCATCCAGTTAAAGAGACAATTTGTAAGTTTAAGTACTCTTAAAATCACCAGCCCAGTCAAAGAGAACAAATTGTAAACATAAGTACAATTGAAATCACCAACCCGGTTAAATAGAACAAATTGTAAACGTAGGTACAGTTGAAATCACCTACCCGGTTAAATAGA